ATCAAACAGATGTCATGACTTTCTCTAGTTTATTTGATCGAGCCTCACCCTTCAATTCTTGTATTCATCCTTTGGGATAGATACAGAATTTGAGGTAAAGTGCTCTTCCATTTAAACTATGAAAATTATGGGGTCAGTTTGACTTCATCTTTTTCAAAACTAAATTTTTTAAAACGTCCTTCCGAAGCGGGCAACGGGATTTCAAATTCCGATGACCGACAGCTTCTTACAGGCAAACCCCACACCAAAAATAGTGCCGACAGGGTTTAATTAAGACTAAGAGGTTTAGATTTAATTAGGGTTAAAATGTGTTTACGCCTAATTTTGATAAGGCTTAAGGATTTAATTAGGCCTAAGAGGGTACCTGATTAGGGTTTAAGGTTTGATTAAGCCTAATTTAGGTATGACTTAAGGATTAATTGGGTCTTTAATGCGGATTAGACCTAATTAGGGTTAAAGGTGTGTTTAAGACTAATTTAAGTAAGGAATAATGGTTCGAGGTTGAGTCTAAGGTGTTTAGATTCAACATAAGATCTTGTTGGTTCCAATTTGGTTAGGACCAACAAACAAGATTGGGTTCAAGTTTGGCTGAACCCAAAGTTAGAATTTGAATTGTGTTTAAGTTGGTTAAATCCAATGGTTAAGATCTTGGTTAGGACTAGGTTGGTTATATCCACTCTAAAAAAGTTTTGTTAAGCTTAAGGTGATTGGACTCAGCATTAAGGATTAGGTCAAATCCAAGATGGTTGGATTCCAACCCTTAGGTTTTAGGTTGGGCTAACAAGTCCAAAATGGTTGGGCTTCACCTCTTAGAGTTAGGTTTAAATTTGATTAAACCTTGAGCCTAAGTAAAATTAGGGGTAATCTCATGGTCAAAAAGGTTAGTCATGTTGTTCATCCCCTAAACTAAGGTCAAGGATTTATTAGTGTTTTAAACTAAGCTTGGAAACAATTTAGGCAAAAATGCAAATCTTTTAGTTTTTATAATTTTACCTTTTAGCTTTCAAACTTCCATTTTTAAATTTTAACAAGGTAGGATTTGTTGTTTTAGGGTTTAAATTTATTTTCCTGAATTCCTTAGCCAATTCCAATTTTAGTTTCTAATTTTATGATTTTTTATAATTATTTTTTAAAATAATTACAAAATTTGGTGAAAATTAGTCAATTCCATTTTGGAGATTTTTCTTAACCTTGGAAAAATCAGTGGGATATTTCCAAGGATGGAAGGAATGACCCCCTGTGAATTTTTGAATTTTTTGAATTATATTTAATTCTTAATAATTAAAATACTATATAGAGTAATTGATTAATTGAAAATAAATATAAATTATTTAATTTTAATTTTATTTTCACTTTGTTCTCCTTGACTTACTAATTTCAGGGATATTTTTGTTTTATTTTTTTGTGATTTTTCTTCGCAAAGTTATGATTTTTTAAATATTTTAGTGATTTTTTGGATTTACTAAGATATGACAATATTATTTTTCTATTAATCTAGCAAGACACCCCATCATCCTAAGATTCCTTGAAGGGCTATGCAACGCATTTTGATTGGTGGAACTTTACACGTGAGAGCTGAGGTGTCCCGCAGTCTAAAGTCCTTCATAAGAACGATTAAGCGGTTTGGCCCAATCTCTGCCATCCATTTATTATACACGGAAATGGACGACATTGTGTCACCATCCCCACAAGAAGATTAATCAAGAGCCATTCGTGTTTAGGGCGTAAGATCTCACTGGATCTTCAACCAAACTTTTCAATTTTTATTCATAAAGCTTCATCGTACTTATGTGAACACATCCATATAGTTATTTAGGCATGGTGTAATTGTCTCTTTCATAAAGGTCAAAACTCGATCCTAGTTTTAGGGTTTCCAACACATAGCTGGTCTCAGGAGGTGTAGCCTTGAGTGAGTTTGATGGAAACGTTCACCTTGTCCTCACAAAGCTTGTCCTTGACTAAATTTGAGGTGAAATTGGGCCTTTGTATGTCCTCGGTGAAAAGGTGACTCGATTTCAGCTTGGACTAAGTTAGAGACCTCGGGATGAATCGATTTCAATTGGGAAGGTGTTGTGGGGCTCTTATGAAGCTTTTGGGATGCTTGGGTTGAAGTTTTGATAAGGTTTGTGCCAACACGAAATTTTGTCCTGGTTTTGGAGTGGAAAATTAGGGTTTCCTAGTGGGTTTTAGAGATTGAAACTATGTGGAATCAACTGCCTAGGGGAAAGGGAGTAGTTTTGATGTTGAGTATGATAGAGTTTAGGTACTCTATGTGAAGTTGGTCTCTCTTGTGGAGCTCTTGGATAATGGCTTTAAATAGTTATTGGAGGTCATGACTAAGCTCTTGGTTGATTGGAGAAGATGAGTGGTGGCTCAGGGATCCTTTGTAGTTAGATTTCAACCATGGATTAGTCAAGCCTTGCATTCCCCATGGTGCACTCATCATGAGACCATATATGGAGAAAAGGGTAGCAAGGGTTGGGCTTTGTTCTCATTGGTAAGCCATTAAGGTGGATAAATAGCTCAGAAGTGTGCTAGTTTGATCCTCCCAAGCTGGTCCAATGAGATGAGATGGGGCCATGTGTCTTCCAACTCACCTTATCTTGGAATTGGTCAAAAAAATGTGGCTTTAGGTGCCTTGATGTGTTTCATAGGGTTTTTATGTCATGATGGGTTTTATTGGGTCATAGGTAGGGCTATCAAAAAAGCTCGTTGTTCGTGAACAGCTCGTGTTCGGTTCGTTAAGTAGCTTGTGTTCGGCTCGTTCGTTAAGTAAACTAGCCGAACACGAACAACTCTTTGTTCGCTCGTGTTCGACTCGTTTTAGCTCGAAATAAAAAATATATATATATAACTATTTATATAATAATACATTACATATATTATTTATATAATAATATAATATATATATTTATGTCTAAATTTAAATCATAACACCTCATGTGGCAATGTGGTTATATTTGAATCTCACACTTTACACCTATTTTTTTTCAATTTAATTTTAACAAGCCGATTTCAAGCCGAACATGAACACGAACATTTAAATCGAGCCGAACACTGACTTCACAAGCCGATTTCAAACACGAGCTATTTCGAACGAGTCGAACACGAGCCCAGCCTGAGCTTGCTCAAGCTCGACTCGTTTACAGCCCTAGTCATAGGTGACTCAAGAATGATGGATCAAGGAGGATCTTGGGCTTGGACCTCCATGGATGGGTTTGGGTCCCATGGGTGGCTTTGGGTTAAACCTTTCATGAGATGGTTTAATAAATAAATAAATAAATTAATTCATTAAATCAATTCCATGAAGATGATTTAACCATGTGATCAAAATTCAACCATTTAGGCTTACTTTGTCATGAGATTGTTCATGTGGTGTTGAGTTGATGATATGGTCAATGTAGTGACCATAGGGTTTAGGGTTGACCATATGGTCAATGTGGTGACCATAGGGTCCAAGGTTGATCAAATAGTCAATGTGGTGAACATAGGATCCAGGTAGGGTAAGGAGGTTAATTTGGGTAGATCCCTCCCCAAGATGGATTTGATGAATATGATGGTTTTAGGAAATCTAGAAAAGTCTAAGGGATCCTGAGTTGATTTGAGTGGCTTAGGACATGTTTTGTTCATAGATGTTGATTTAGGGTAAATCCTCACAAAAGTGAGGCCGCAAAGGCAGAAATCTATCCAAATACAATTTAGAACATTGATTTATTATTTTTTTTTCTCTAGTCAAATTCTGCTACAGGAAACAACAATAATTTGCAATTATTTTTCTTAGATTCAAACCAAACTTTATATGCTTAATTACAGTGCAAGACAAATAACGTGATTGTTCAGTTTCCAAAAAAAAAAGAAAACAGATTGACGTGCATAAAAAATATAATTAATTATATAAACTTTGGAATTTTGATATCTTAATTTCCTAGTCGACCATTGTTTTAAGCAATCAAAATTTTCAAATAGCTTGTTAGAGCAATAAATTACTGAAAACCCTTTCTATTAAAGTCAAAAATCGAGAATTTTCATTGCCCCATGAGTAATAAAAGGAAAAAAAGGGTAAATAATCTCAACTTGATTCACTAAAACTATCATTCATTTACCTACACGATACACTTTGGAGTTTTGGTATTTGAATCATCTAATGAACAATTGCTATGGTAAACATAAGTTTTTTTTTTGAATTATTTATTACATACAAATCAACTATAGATGGATAATGTGATTTTTTTAGTTTGCAGCAATATTTAACATAAAAAAGAAAAGGATAGGATAGACTATATAACCTCCTCTCTGTGAACTTGACTAGTTTTCACCTAAGGATGACACAAATAGGCTTACCTTCGTCAATGATTTCTGGTAAGAGCGGAACAGAAGAATGAGAAAGATGGGAGCATCAGTGGTCTTTGTACGCCACAATCCCCTTGTGGCCTTCCCTGCTAGCTCTAATCATAACCGTATTGGGAGATTTTGTTCATAAAAGCGATGGTTTTGGGGGAACCCAGGAGAGCAGGAGTGATGTAAGCAAGGTTCCAGCTTGCCACCACAATGGACGCGACGTAAGACAAGGCAAGCAAGTGTATCTTTTGATCCTCTTCTACTCTGTGATGACGACGAGCTATGAATGGAGGAAGCCAGCTACCACGGGAAGTCCTAGCACACGATCCTTAAATCCAGCTCCAGATCGAATTTAATAAATCCGCGATTTACGTACTGCTTGTGAATTTATTTGTCTTTAATTAAATGGACACATTTAACGATGAAAAAGTATATTTGGTAGATTTACGTTAAATTCAAATGTAAATTCACCTTAAATTAGTCTACCGAACACCCCCTAAGTTTGCACACTTTTTTTGATGTTAAAATCAAAGTAAATTTGATTTAAATTAAATTGTCTGAAATTTGAAGTTTTTAAACATTTGTATGGCTAGCACTAATCTGACTATGAAGTAATAAGGGTCGGTGTGGGGAGCTTATTATCGGTCCGACTAGAGGTACTTTTCTCCTTTTTTCGTCTACCTCCTCTTCCGCAGCTCCGCACCCTCAGACTCGCCGCCGTTTTGCCCTAATTGATGCTGTAAGCTTTTTCTCCGACGACGACGCAGACCTGTGCCCGATCTCACTTGCCTTATTTCTTCCTCGCACACCCTCCAATTTAATCTTCTTCTCTGATCGCAAGTCCTCCCTTCATCTAGACACTGCTGCGACTTTCTTTCCCTCTTCCTCTATCAATTTTCTCCTGCATTATAACCTTTTCTCTTTTTTCAGTTAGCATTAGAACTGTTCCACTTTCAGCGCTAAACTTACTCCTCGGCCTTTGCTGTTATGTATCAGACAAAGTTCAGTCCTCCTCAATCTATAACTGTTATCCTGCATCACGTCGAAGATGAAACTCATCTTTTTTGTTGTGTTCATTTTATGAGATAAAAGTCTCTGAACAGATGTTTACACCCAATCCAAATGTTTGGAAGGCCTTCAGGACTTACCAGTTGTTTTGCTATAACCTTTCGCTGTATTGATTAGGACCTTTCTGCTCATTCTCTTTCTCGGGTTAACGCAAACTGATTTTCATGCAGATCTGTCTGGCGTATCAAATCTTTTTCCATCCGGGTTTGGAATTCCTTGCATTTGAAATGAAGACATCTTCATTTTTAGACACCATGCTTTCCCATCTTCGAGAAACCAGCAGGTGGTGGTACTTTATTTTTCTCTATTTAAATTCTCCTAAAAAAGTTGTTCTTAGTCAGTTTTTTATAAGATTATTAGATTATATAAGATTTATTTTGCCACCATTTGAGCTTTTTGATCTTTTGACTTTTGTATGCGCCCATCAAAGTTTTTGAACAGTCCACGGTCCGGCATAATTTTAGGCACGTCGATAACCCATTTTATTATCAGCAAAGTAAGCCTTTTATTAACTTATGTTGCTTCAGTATGGCTTGAATCTATTATTTTTGTATATGCAAACTTAACTGTGACTTTCAGTCTAATGTTTTCTATCTCTTTTACTAACTACGGTCTTTGATCGCAGAAAGATTTGGGTCTTTTGTTTCTTCCTTAGAATTATATACTGAAAATAATTAGCCATCTTTTTATTTTTAAAATTTTTTGCTTTATTTTGACTAATTAAAAGCATTTTTTTATTTATTTAAAAATGAATTCTTTGTTTGATTCGCCAAAGCATGAAAAGCGAGCCATGTGACATGTACATTATATATTTGCTAATGATATTGGACATACAAGAAATTAATAATTTGTAAGAGCTTCTACCAATTCAAATGAGCTTATAGCTTTATGGTTGAACAATATAGGATGATGTTATAAACTGAAAATTAAACATGAATGAAAGTAAATGTGGTAATCCGTTTTGTGGTCTAACTTTTGGTCTTAAATTGTTGTTTTCAACATTACAGATTGTTATTGCAGAACTATCTTGCTCTTTTTCATGAAAAACATCGACTTCACTATGGAAAGTATTATCTTATGAAAGCAAATTATTCTTGGAGCATTTACATACATATCACATAATTCTTGTGTATTTACATATCTAACATTCAAACATTTATATTTACATGCATTCCACTCAAAGCATTAGCATCACATAAAAAATACCACCATTCCTATGTTTATAAAAGTGAAATACACCTTTTATGCATAGGTTTATGACACCAATGTGTTATGAATGTAAATATCAAACTCTAGGTGTTAGATATGTAAATACATTAGAATTATGTGGTATGTATGTAAATTCCCCATTATTCTTTTATATTTCTTCATTGATTTAACAATAATTGTTTTTCTTTTAAGTAAGCACATATTTGGCGATTTATTTTGTTGTGGGCTACATCAAATTTTTTGAAAACGCATTTTGGAGTCAAAAGTTTGATCCATTAACCTACAAACTCGTATTAACTTTGGTTATATATCCCATTTTGTTGTTGAATGGCAGATACTATACTGGGTATCCGAAAGAATTTGGACCGTCAAGAATCATTCATTTTACATCTGAGCGTCAATTTATTCAGCTTCTGCATGAAGGCCATCCTGTTGTTGTTGCATTTACTATTAAGTGAGTTGGGCCCTTCTGATATCTTCAGTTACATCAGCCCCTACTATTTTAAACCAACCACCCTAGTAGTGTAGATATATAGTAGAACCATGCATTCTATACTGTAGTTTTCATTATGTGATTAATTGTTAAAAATCTTTCACAATACAACAAGAAGATAGAAGTTGTTGAATTTACTAGGGGCTGAAAATTATTTTGTTGGATGTATAAATTTTATTTGGTAGGTGCAATATTTGTTAATATTGATATTTTTTTTAAAGAGCTTTACTATCCATGAGTTCAAATTTATCATTGACAAGGCAACTTCAAAGCACATTATTTTATTTTATTTTTTCCTATTCAAATATTCGTTGTAGGTGTCCATACACGAAGCATTTTGATACCGTATTGGAGGAAGCTGCTGCAGAGTTTTATCCAACTATAAGATTCGTGCGAGTATGACTACTTATATATTTATATTTTGCTTATATTTTCTCTTTGTTTTTTTTTAAAGAACTTCATTATGTTTTTAAGTTTCAAGGGAGCGATTATGGAATCCAATACTCCTGCTTTTGGCCTGCATTTTCTTTATGGTATTTATTCCCTGTAAAAATTGTATAAGTAAAGCCTATATTTTTTCCTCATTTCTTGGTTTGGCTCAAAACTACCATGGAGATGTGCATAATGAAGGGTAGGGATTTTTATCAAAAGGCAGTTCAATGGGTTTGGCTTCACATTATATTTTCTCAATGCATTGAATGTCTCATCCAAGTGGTGTCTTAATTTTTACTAGTTGATCGTTAATTTATACTTCCAATTTTCTTCTATTTTGGTTGGAATGTATTATCTATAAGCCTTTAATTATTGACACCCACATTCTTCAATTCGAATGACATCGGTATAATAGAGTGCCTTTCGTGGGTGATGAAGCTTGGATTCTCCTCATCATTTTGGTGCATTTTTTAATTTCTTAGTAATCAAAGAATACATCTAAGAAGCTCAAGCAAAACCAATGAATGACCAAGGTGTCGATTATGGGTAGTGGTTAGGAATCCTTTGGGAAGGCATTATTCACCTTCTTGAATTTGATGGTTGCTTTAATTTTCTTGTTAACTTTTTGACCATCATCACGTTGAATATCAACTTGGAGAATCCGTCCTCTGTTGCTAATGCTGAGCAGCCTTTCCCGCATCCTCTTAGATTGTGGCTTGGGTCACAGTAGAGTGGTTTTACTTTTTCTGTTGGATGGGCTTATTTTCAAATCAAATATGAAGTTGGTGACTAGTGATGTCAAGGCTAACTCCCAATATTTAGACAGGCTCCCAAGTGAAGCAACAACATTAGGCTTTAGAATTTCAATTAAATTGGTGAGATATGTACCTTCATAGGCCACAATAAATTAAAAAGTGTGCTTGGGGTGGCTGAATGGAGATGCAATTACTTACCCTGCTTCTTCTATCACCCGTTATTGGCAAACATCCATTCTTCTATGTTTCTATTGGCTGCCTTAGAGTTCTAAACAATTCTAAAAAGTGTGCTTGGGGTGGCTGAATGGAGATGCAATTACTTACCCTGCTTCTTCTATCACCCGTTATTGGCAAACTACCATTCTTCTATGTTTCTGTCGTGGCAAACAATATTGAGTTAGATTTACTAATCACGGTTTTTGTTTCACTGTTTAGTAGATATTTTGATTCATTAAAATAGTTGTGGCATTAGATAGAAAATGTTGATACAATTTTCTAAACAATATTGAGTTAGCACTTTCAGGAGGTCACCATGTATGGAGTTGCGAGCTTGAGGCAAGAGGTGGGATATGTACCTTCATAGGCCACAATAAATTAAAAAGTGTGCTTGGGGTGGCTGAATGGAGATGCAATTACTTACCCTGCTTCTTCTATCACCCGTTATTGGCAAACATCCATTCTTCTATGTTTCTATTGGCTGCCTTAGAGTTCTAAACAATATTGAGTTAGCACTTTCAGGAGGTCACCATGTATGGAGTTGCGAGCTTGAGGCAAGAGGTGGCAATGGGAGATGATGGCTTGGGAAGCTATTGAGGATCAGTTGCCTGAATATGATGTTATAAGCTAAAGCGCCCAAAAACACAACAAAGTTTTTCAAAAGTGTCGTTGTTCCTATCTTTCTGTATAGTTACTTCCAATGTAACCTCTAACATGACTATTCCCTCTAGAGTAAATTTTTTTGTGAAATGAACATCATTTTGTAACACTTAGAATTTTCTACAATTCAAAATCATCTAATCTGCTAGTTATTGGAAGATGACATTCGTCACGCAACCCATATCTATGAGGATGCACAACTCTTAGTTGTTGATTACCGCCCAAACGGTTATGTGATCATTGTAAGCGTTATGACCACAGGGCAAGTTGACACCTGAGAAATATATTAGTGATGTTATTGCAGGCTTTGACTTCGTGCGACTCCAATGCCGACATTTTTGGTGATGGTGTTGAGTTATTTGATGGTTTGCAAGCTGTATTTATTGTGTTGATTGGTAAGTGGTGCAATCTGTTCCTCATGTTGGGCTGATTGTCATGCATAGTTTTCAATGAGAGGTGGTATTGGTCTCACCACAAATTACTTCAGGTGTCCATCTTCTAGGTTGAGGACTCGCTAAATCTGTCATGCCTGTTCTCATTGCAGTACAAGTAACTCTTTAGGCAGATAATCATGGTCCTTTGTATTGTGTCAAAGAGGTGCCGACCATTGGAAGTAGTGGTTCTCTTAGCCTAAAAAACATCATTAATACTTAAGATAAAATTAAGCGACATTTGCTATGGGTTTGGAGTGTTGATGGACGCAGATCTTCTCATTTTTATGTAAAGTTGTGTTGACCTAATTAAGAATCTTTTTTGGGTCAACCTCATTAAGCATTTCTCATGTCTATTTTGTGGCAATATGATCAATTTTGGTTACTTTTATCATGACACTAGACGAAATTTCTTACTTGAAACCTGTTATAGGAAAACCACTCCTATATGGTTGTGAACCTAGAAGCTTACTGTAGCATCATGGGGTTCTTTGATATTGAGTTGCAGAGGCGCACTGTGCTGTCATCTTCACAATACCTATTTCATAGTTGGTAGCCTCTTAGGAGACCAATGTAAATTGTTAGATAATACTTGTGGGACTTTCCATCCCCTTGTTGATCGTCAAGTGGGTCTATGTGGATTTTGAAGGCTGGTTGTAACAAATTTCACCACAAATTAGCAACAAAGTCAATTAATCAAGTGATGCTTATGAATTGCATTTTTTTGAAAATTTGAATCGTAAATTTTTTGGAGACTGGAACTAAAGCCATTGAAACTCCCATGCGCTCGATAATGTCTAAGGGTGTACAACAACAACAAGCCTTTATCCCATTATGTGGGGTCGGTTACATGAATTAGTTTTCTCCATTGCATCCTATTGTGTGTCATATTTTCATTTAATTCTAATAAATTAAGATAATTTTTTATACAATATGCCTAAGTCTTTCTAGGTTTAACTCTGCCTTTCTTAACATAAGTCGAATCTAAAACATCTACTCTCCTAACGGGATCATTAGATGGTCGAATTTTAATGTAACCAAACCATCTAAGACGATTGTCTCTAATTTTGTCTGCTTCTTGAGCTACACCAACCCTATCACGAATATATTCATTTCACAATTTGTTTGTAAGTGTAAAGCCACTTATCCACCTAAACATTTTCATCTCGGTGACACTTAATTTTATGCTTCTCTTTTAATGTCCAACATTCTTAGCCATAAAGCATTGCTGGTCTCACCACCATTATTTAAAATTTTTCTTTTAGTTTAAGACTTGAAACATTCCTCCACCTCAACCAAAAACTTGAATTCTACTAATAACATCCCCATCTATATGACCATCACTTTGACAATAGACCTGAGATATCTAAAACATTCACACCTTTTAATAATTTGATCAATCATAGTTCTAATTCCGTCACGAGCTACTACTACTAAAATTACATTCCATGTATTCAATTTTAGTTCTACTCTTCAGTGTATTCAAGTCACTAGATATCTAAACGAAGGCCTTTAGACTCCAAAGTAAACCTCCATAATTCAAGTTTTTCCTGTATTTAATTTTAGTTCTACTCAAACGAAGGCCTTTAGACTCCAAAGTTGACCTTCATAATTCAAGTTTTTTCTGATCTCTTTTTCTAGTTTTATCCACAAGAAGGATATCATTAGCGAAAAGCACACACCAAGGTACATACTCCTGTACATTTCCAATCAGAGCATCCATTACTAATACAAAAAGAAACATGCTTAAAGCCAATCTCTGATATATTTCAACTGAAATAAGAAAATATTTGGTCAATCCTCCTGTTCGAAGACAAGTAACAACTCTAGTATACATACATATCTTTAAAGACTTGAATATAAGTCATATCAACACCTTTCTTTTCTAGAACTCTCCAAAGGATATATCTTGGAACCTTATCGTAAGCATCTTGGAACCTTTCTTAGAACTTTATAGTAATTTTTTTTCCAACTTAATAAAAATCATATGCAAATCCTTCTTATTCTCTCTGTACTTCTCCATCAAACCTCTCAATAATTGTATAGCTTACATAATAAACCTACCTTGCAGAAATCCAAATTAATTATGAGAAATCTTTGTAATAAGTTTGAGCCTATGTTTAATTACCCTCTCCCATAATTTTAAAGCATGAAACATCAACTTAATTTCTCTATAATTAGCACACTCTTGTGCATCCCCTTTATTTTAAAAAATGGGGACCAAAATATTATTCCTCCACCCCTTAGGCATCTTTTTTAATTTTAGAATAATATTAAAAAGTTTAATGAACCAAGAAACTCCAAAATCTTCTAAATATTTCCACACTTGAATTTGAATATCATTAGATCCTACAGATTCTTGACCGTTGGTTTTCTTTAAAGTCTCTTCAACTTCTTTTTTACTAATGTAATGATAAAAATGAAACATTTATTATTATTAGTGATATTAAGATCACTATGGTCGTTCTTATTTTCAGAAATTTCATTGAAAAGTTTATCAAAATAGCTCACCCACCTATGTTGACTATCTTTTTTTTTAGGAAAAGTACTTTTTGATTCTCATCTTTAATACACTTTATTTTAGTTAAATCTTTAATTTTTTTTGTTTGTTTGGCTAGTTTATACATGTATTTTTACTATCTAATCTATTATAAATATCACTAAAAGCTGAATTTTTAGCTTCATAATTTTTTTTTTCTTAGACTTCCTACAAACAATATAATTTTTTTTCCAATTTTCTAAGCTTTTACATTTAAACCAATTTTTATAGCATAACTTCTTATATTTTATCTTTTTTTGCACATTAATATTCCACCACCAACTATTTTTATTAGAAGTTTTTTCCTTTGATTCTCTAAGTATCCAATTAAATCTTTTGCCACTTGTTTAATAGACTTTGTTACTTTATTCCATATAGAATTTGATACTTCATGAATATCTCAAATCTTGAAATCTTGAAGTACTCATAAAAATAATTTTAGTTGTCTTTTAGGTGCCCCATCTAATTTTATGACAATATTTCCTAGTATTCTTCATTTTACAACTCTTTATCTTCAGAACTAATAATCGATGTTAAGTACTTAAACTCTTACTTGGAATGACCTTACAATCTTTACATTCTCGACAATCTCTTCTTCTCATAATAAAATAATTATTTTTGTTTTATTAGATCCATTCTTATAAGTATAGTATGCTCATGTCTTTTCTTTAATAAAATATTAACAATAACAAATCATGCGCTAAAGCAAAATCTAATATGACTAAAAAAAATTCTTTATTAATCACTCCAAAACCGTAGCCATAATGAATATTTCTAAAGTCTTCTACTACTCTAGCGACATGTCCATTTAAATCTCCTACGATAAAAATTCTTTCTTCAAGAGGTGTCATTTGTATGAATTCTTCTAGGTCATTCCATAATTATTTTTTAGAACATATATCTAAATATACTTGAGGAGCATAAATATTTATAATATTAAAAATCTTAGTATCAACAACACTCTTAAGGGCTATAATTCAATCTCAAATTCTATTAATTTTTGCAACATTATCTTTCAAACTCTTATCCATAATTACACTTACACCATTTCTAGTGCAACTATTACCTTAATACCAAAGTTTAAAACCTAAGCTATCAATTTTCTTAACCTTGTCTCCAACCTATTTAATTTCTTGAATACATAAGTTATTTATCTTTCTATGAATCATAATATTAATTAATTCTATTAATTTATCTGTGAGAGTGTCTATTCCAAGACCCTATCTTATATCAGTTTCATAGACTAACTTCTTCTAGGTCATTCCAAAAATATTCTTTAGAACCTATATCTAAACCTATTTGATGAGCATAAACATTTATAATATTAAAAATTTTAGTATCAATAACAATCTTAAGGGCTATAATTTTGTCTCTAATTCCATTAGTTTTTACAACATAATCTTTCAAACTCTTGTCTATAATTACACTTATACCATTTCTAGTGCGACTGTTATCTGAATATCAAAGTTTAAAATCTAAGCTATCAATTTTCTTAGTCTTTTCTCCAACCCATTTAGTTTCTTGAATACATAAGATATTTATCTTTCTATGAATGATAATATTAACTAATTCTATCAATTTACCTGTGGAAGTACCTATATTCCAGGACCCTATCCTATTATCAGTTTCATGGACTAACTTTATCTATATCCGTCCGTAACGTGAGAACTCTTACTTATTTGACATTACAGCCGGACACCAGTGTAGTGACTCTTTCACACTTTTCACTGTACTCAGATCATACAGAGTGTCATTTCCAGAGGACGCCTTAGCATTTACACAATGATCAAAATGATTTGTCATGATTTTTCGATATTATTTACGTTGGCTGTCAATTACCTAAAGCAACTTTTCACTTTTCACATCCGAGGCTTGAGACCAACAATAGCAAACGAGCTAAAGTTGAACAATGGGTTATTTATTCGTGTTTAGCTCTTTTAAAATTATTTTTGTTCAAAATTAGCTTGCGTTTGAAATTGTTCTTGAATATCTTCTTCTGTTCAGTTTGTTTTAATATCCAAGAGCTCACTTGGCTCAATCCTAGCTTGAATTTGACTCAAATTATTAAAAAAATAATAATGTTTTTTTTAATATAGTAAGCATTCCCATGCAAATAAATATTTATAAAATTAACACATGATTATTAATGGTGAATAAGACAAAATAGGGCAATTGAATGAAATAAAATTGACCTCAAATATAAGTGGTTCAATTAGGCATGGTGTTGCGGCATTATGGCAAAGGTGAGATATGGTTACTGCAAACTTATTCAAATATGATCTATGGGTGGCATTGTAGTATGCAATATTAGACGATTGAGTTCCACGAGATGAGCAAACAATGACTAGAAATTATTTCCCACGTTGTCTACATATATCTCATTTTGAGGGGTTACCCTGACCGGATCTCCTTCTAACCAGTCATCCTTCGGGTTAGCAATAATTGGCTTGGAGTAGCCATGTTGATGGTAATTGAGCGTAATAAATAATCCATCATAGGCATTTTTATGGATTCTTATAATTTTAACCCCATCTTATTTTATGGGTTCTTCTATAAGACATTTCTTTTAGGAGAGCAGTTTCTTTGTACGAGAAATTTTGCACACTGTTGTGGAGGTAGGACATATAAGTTTTTGCTGATAAGGCTTCCTAATCAAAATTTGATTGTTTGGTACCTTAACAGTATGTAATTATTCCTTATGTTAAGAATAGTTTCTCAAACTCATCCCTATAGGGATGTTGAAGGTCAGAAAGATTATTCTATACCGACTTTTTTCAAATAGTATCACTCATAAGTATATTTAACTTTGTAATTTGAATGTGTAACTGTTATTTTTATTCTAGTTCTTACAATTTATTTATTTTTGTGCTTCAAGTTGCTTAATGAATTAATACTCTTTTCCAAGTTTAAATTTGATAATTTAATGAAGAACATCATGCATCAAATTTGAGCAAATATTGATGATTATTTTCTTATCGAGTCTCCCTATTGTGCAGCCAGGTTGAATGCCCCAAATATCCAGGATTTTGTATAGCAAGGCAGAGAAAAGATTATCCGTTCATTGAAATTTTTCACACTCCAGAAGAGGTAGTTTTATTTATTCTTTCATAACCAATCGGGCTTCATCCTAACATTCTGCAGATAAGGTCTATTAGTACAAATTATCTTTGATTCGACTCTTATCTCTGGCAAGCAATATCATCCAAAACCCGTATGTCCCCAAAACTTATATTTAAAAAAAAAAGGGTTAGCATGCTTTTGGGAAAAGTTGGCATCTGTTGGCTTGACTCGTTTGTTGCTCAGAAAAGGTTGGCTTAGGCACACACCTCTAGAAACATCTATCTTGGTGAGCTTTGTCTACCGTTAATTTGGTCTAATCTTTGTGTCGACTTGTTATAATCCCCATATGTTTGAGTCAATTTTGATTGACATATAACTTAGAGTTGACGCGTTGGATCTAAATATCACTGATTTTCTGCTTGTATGGCTTTATTTCAAGCCAAGCATACTTGATTATAACTTTCTAAATTAAATAAAATTTATTTGAAGAGCTACTAACTTCAATAAAAATTAAGAGCTGGCAGTTCGAATGACTTATTAAGAGCTGTCATCTCGCTTATGATTCAACTTATTTAAGTGAACTATTACACTAGTCTTGTAACTTCCATTTGTTAGTAAAATTCTCTTCATGGAGTTCCAAGCAAACTAATAGATGGACTGGTTTTGCCTGGGTTAAACTTGGTCTATTTGAAGTCAAAATTACTCGAGTATTTCTTTTTCACAAATATGATTGTTTGAATTTGTAGTATTTAAATCAAAATTTTGTTTTACTAGTTATTCTGCATACTACCAGAAGACTCTTTCTTTACAAATGAAACCCCGTTCGACCCCAATACATTTTGGGTGCTTGAGGCTTCAAATTACTTCTGTTGAAGAGGGAGGGGCTCATCTTTGCTACCATAATCCTTTTCCCATAGTGGGTGTATCATGATTCAAGTGCCTGACCTTCAAAATCTTTTGGGAACCTTTTTCTTCATCTGTTCTGATAAATTTAATAATTTCATGTACACATTTACCCAAAAAAATAGAAAATAATGGCACCTTCCTATTTGGATTTTCCTTTTCTGTTCTTCTTCTTAACCACTTCTCTCAATCTCAATCACAGCTTATCTTTTTTGCTCATTTAATTCCCCGCTAATCAAGTTTTTTTCCTTCTTTTTTGATCAAAGAAATATTTTTTTTAGTGTGTAATTTCTAGCTTTTCTTTCCATGTGATGCTTAGAAAGTTGCAAATCTAGAGTCTGCTCTGTGGTGATTATGATTCTCCAATTGCTGGCAAAACTCGTTTTCAGGAAATAAATGTTAAATTTATTAATGGTTTACTTTTTTGGGGAAATTTGAGAGCCATGGCTCATATATGAAATTGAAGAGGGTTACAAAATACAATTGCTTGTGGCAACAAAAAGAAAGAAAAGTAAAAAAACCTGTGGTGTAACACCTCAAAACTCACAAATATACATTTCATGCATGAAATAGAACGACTCAGATTGGGTGAAAGAGCATTGAATGCTTAACAAAATGCCCGGCAAACAACAAACATGCCTGAGTGTTTACACCATTAGAAGATGATTCTTGTGGCAACCAATAAAAACCAGCCCAAAGAGAAATACGTAGCAAGGCCTAGGCATGTAAACGAGCCGAGCTTGAGCGAATTTGAGGTTTGTTCGTGTTAAGCTCATTTGAAATTTTTTTATTCGTGTTCGACTCGTGTTCGAAATGCATTCTAAATAGCTTATTTTGTTTTGCTCGATGTAAACTCATTTTTTTGAATTAAGCCCGTGTTCGGATTATTTTTGGCGCTTCCTTTTCTCACAGCTCGGGTGCTTCCCATCTATACGGTTCAATATTTCTTGCGTTGGAGTGTTTTCTGTATAGATCTGGCTTTTATAAAGCTTTTCTTACACTAACTTCCCTCTGTCTCCAATGTGGGAGACTACTTGAGCAGAACAGAATGTGGGGTGGGGACTGCGGGGTTCAGTCATTCCCATTTTTTTCAGCAGTGGGAACTTCCTGCCTAAATTATTTTGGGACATTTACATACATACCACCCAAATGCTATGTTTTTTTCATATCTACCACCTAAACTAATATTTTTTATTATTATATAATTTAAAGTATTTTAAAAATAATAAAATTTAATATTCTTTGAATATATATAAAAATTAATATAAAAAGGATATGAATAAATTTTATTATTTAATTATTTCGAGCTAAAACGAGTCGAACATGAATAAACAAGCTTTTGTTTGTGTTTGACTCATGTATAAATTGGGCTCAAAAAAATTATTTATGTTCGGCTTGCTTGCGTAACAAACAAATTGAATGTGGGCTATTTAACGAGCCGAAATGAGCTATTCGCGAATGACAAGCTTTCTTGACAGCCCTAGCAATGCCCCATATACACAAATAGTTGTGCAATTTTCCAGTTTCAGCTAATAATACTAGCAAAACCCATTTTGGAGTAAAATGATAATAAGTTCGGAATTTTGTGCTTAATTTAGAACGAGAAGAATGGCTTGTCCGTACCTTTCTTGGGGTTAAAAAATCCATGAAATGTTTAGGATTATATGCTTACACCCATTGTTACATATATAATGCCAATTCTATTGCACCCGTGTAAATTACTCAACTTTCTACAATCATAATGTGTCTGCAAATGAGTTTTGTAAGTGTGATAATTAATTTTGTCACCTATAATATCTAGAAAAATTTTTGTGCAATCTTTCTGATGCAGCTGCGAATTGTCTATCCGAGTAATTCAGCAAATTTGCTACTACTGCAAAATTTTACACTTTCATTTGTTTGTTTAGACGCAGAGTTCTCTGTTGCAGTCATTTCTCTCATCCTCTCTCATATGCACACGCACGTGCACACATGTTCAATTTGTCTCTCCCTCTCTCCCTCTCTCTCTCTCTCTCTCTCTCCCTCTCTCTCTCTCTCTCTCTCCCTCTCCCTCTCTCCTACCATATACACACATGTATATTTACAATAAACTATTTGGAAAAGCTTATACTTTTATTTTATCTGCTTTTCCTGATATTCTTGTAACAGGTTGTGGTTTATGTAACTTGACATTAATTTTTGTGTTTGTAGGACATTTTAATATCATGTTTCTATGGTTTTTGTTCATCAGGTAGCTAATCAGCCAAAAGTTTCAGATACCAGCATAACCAAATATTCCGTCAAGGTTCTTCTTGTAAGTTTTTATATTTACTTTTTTTAAATATATGCTTATGTTGAGAGAAAACTGATTTTTTTCTCCGATTAGAACTTTGGGATGTTAAAACTATTTTCCATTATTCCAATATGGCACCAAGGCATTGTATTATTCTCATTTTATGGTTGAGGTAACATTCAATTGGTGCTATGCAGATATAACTGATATAACGTATGAAAATGTAAATATTATTCTATTTGTAAAGATGGCATTATCAATACCACCTCATTAGTTTTGTCATTAATGGTTTTGATGGCATTGTGAAAATTATATTGTTCTGCTCGCTTGATGAGCCATTTATACGTCTTGATCTTGTTTGTTGGACAGTTGATTATTTTGTAAAAGTTGATAGGATGGCTTGGGTTTAGGGTCATATTTGTTTAGTGTCATATTTGTTGGAAAGAAAGAATCTGTTACAGTTTAGTGTCATATTTGTGTTTGCCGTAGCGGGATTTTAGTACTTGGGTGTCTCAAGGTTTATGTAACTGCGTTGAATTTGAGGGTTGATTGGCCGACTAGGAAGTTTCAAATTAAATTGATTGTTTGTTGCCTGATTTGCAATTTAAAATTAAACTGTAATCAATGTAGGCTTAAGTTAAGATTAATTCTGCGACAACTTTATCTGCTAACATATTCTATGAGAAATTTAGAAATGTCTGTACGAGGCATACAATTGAGAACTCTTACGGGGCTTAAATAAAATTGTATTTATAATTTCAATATTATGTGGATGCATAATTCCCTTAAAAGCACTTAAAGTCTTAATAATTAGATTAAATTGATCGTTTGACCGATCATGCTATTAATGGTTCAACATGGAAAATGTTTTACACGAGAAATGAGAAAAGTTGTGATGAACCAATGGTTCGATTGTTGAATTGGTGAACCATTCTTGGTTTGATTGAACGTTTAGCTATTTTAAATTTTATGTTTAATATTGGTGAACCATTCTTGAATTATGGTGGTCTATATTGGAGTCTAAAGGCCTTCGTTTGAGTAGAACAAAAATGATACATGGAATGTAATTTTAGTAGTAGTAGCTCTAGTTACAGAGTTGTAACAATGGCTGATCAAATTATTAAAAGGTGTGAACGCTTTAGTTATCTCCGATCTATTGTTCAAAGTGCTGTTGATATAGGATGTTATTAGTAGAATTCAAGTTGGTTGGTTGAATTTGTGGAATGCTTTGGGACAATTGTGTGATGGAAAAGTACTGCTTAGACTAAAAGGAAAGTTTTATAAAATGGTGGTGAGACCTGCAATGCTCAATGCTATATGGCGCTGAATGTTGGCCTTTAAAGAAAAGCATAAAATTAAGGGTCTGTTTGGGGCAACTTTTTTGGCGCGGTGCAGTTTGAAAACGTGCTCCTGACTGTTTGGAAACAGCGGCGCGGTGACGTTCGTTAATAATTTATGTTAAAACATGGCCACAGGCCGTGGCCCGCGTTTCTTCGAGTACATTTACCCCCTGCCCTTTCTCGCTTTTCTTCTGCCTCTCTCGACCCCGTGGTTCCCTCTCTCGTGTTTCTTCTGCCCTAGCTACCCATCTTGATTGCTCTCGTGATATTTTTACTCTGTTACCTAGGTAACTCCCTTGTTTCTATCTTGCGCTTATCTCGTGCATTTCGAGCGGCTCTTTCCGGCGGAAACTTGCCTTTCTTCTCTCTCTTTTCCGTATGATCTCTGGTTATTGTGCATGATATGTAAATACTTTGCTCATTTTCGATTGAATGACTTTCTTTTTGCGATTTGTGGCTTTCTCATTTGCGACATGTGGTGTTTTGTGAGAATTTTGTGGAATCGATCTCATTTTTCAAGCATAGCTTTCTCATTTTCCTCTCTGTTTATTGTGAGAATTTTGTGTATTTTGCAAGTTTTGCGATTTCTATGGTCTGTATATGGTTCTGCGATTTGTTTAGTGCCCTGTATGTAGATAGCACTGTTTCGGGTGCTCTATGTGTAGATAGCAGTGTTTCGGGTGTTCTGTATGTCACTCCATTGAAAAAAGAATGAAAGGAGCTTGATTTGTAGATAATACTGTTTCAATGCCCTCTATGTCACTGCCTCGATTGACAAAAATGGATTGATAGCACTGTTTCGGGTTCATGTAAGTAATTGCCTCGATTGAAAGTGAGTGCTTGATTTGTAGATAGCAATGTTTCGGGTGACTGTATGTAATTGCCGCAAATGAAAAATATGGGATGGGGTTCTACCATTATTTTTGATGTTTGTGTAAGAATTTGAATAATCCGCAAAAAAGGGTGTTGATTTTTGTTGTAGGTTGTGAGGTGGTGGTGTGTTATGAGAGAAGGTGATGTTGAGGTGGTGGAGTGGTGTGGTGCGCTGTTGATGTTGGTGGTTGGTGGCGTTGAGGTGGTTGGTGTGTTGTTTGGAGAAGGTGGTGTGGTGTGGTGTTGATTATAAGGTAGTGCGATGGTGGTTGGCATGTGGAGGTGTTGGTATCTGTGTGAAGGTGTGTGGCTGGTTTGTGGAGGTGCTGGTGTGTGGTTGTGGTTGTGGTGGTTAGTGTGTGGTTGTGTTTGTGTGGAGGTGTTGGTTTGGTGGTGGTGTGGGGATGTGTTGGTGTTTTGATGTGCTGGTGTGTGGATGTGTTGGTGTGGAGGTGGTAGTGCCTGTGTGGTGTGTGGTGTGTGGTGTGTGGTGTGTGGTGTGTGGTGTGTGGTGTGTGGAGATGGTGGTGTTGGTGTATGGTTGTGGAGGTGGTGGTTAGTGGTGGTGGTGTGGTGGTGTGGTGGTGTGGTGGTGTGGTGGTGTGCTGGTGTGTGGAGGTGTTGGTGTGGAGGTGTTGGTGATGATATTGTGACATTCCTATTTCTCTTTGATTTGCCATATTGTGACATTCCTATTTATGTTAATTAGCTCTTTTTCATGCTAGTAGTACAATGGTTGAGATAAAAGATGTCTGTTCATCTACAATGTGGGATAAAGAGACAATTAATATTTTGCAATCTTTGCCTCAAGGTGGTCGATCCGGGAAATAGGCTGACAACATATTTCAACAAGGAAGATTGACAAAATACTATTAGAAATTTAAAGAAAGTATATGAAGAGAGTATGATGGAATGCTGTTAAAAAAAGTTGGATCAACTAAAGAAAGATTGAAAAATCTGGAAGGAATTAAAGTGATGATCAATAAGCTTGGGGTGGGATCCGTTAAAGTGAACGATTAATGCTTCCGAGTGGTGGACAGAGAGACTTGCGGTGAGCATTTTTTAAATATCCCATTTTTTTCAATTTTTAATTTATTTTAAATTCAACGACATGTTATATGAATTTGCCGGTGGTGCCTGCTGCAAAAAAAATTAAATACAGTGCAATCGATTCTGAGTTGGAGGAGAAGTTGGATTGTATGTTTGGGGGTGTAGTGGTAACGGACAACAATACATGTGCACCCAGTGGGCTAAGGTGACATCCTTGAAAATTTGGGAGCTGATCAAACATGTGATTTCATTGAAAGCCTCAGCTCGAACCTCCATGAAATTGAGTCCACGATCCAGTCTAAGCATCCTCGGGTTGAAAAAAAAAAAAAAACGGAGCTGCTTTCCTTAGAAGTTAGATCTCACAGTTGATGACTTCATGCACCAATAACTCCGACACATCACAAACAACTTCTGTCCAACAGGTTATGCGAATTTTGGATGCAACTCCAGAAATTTCGGAGGACATGCCGCTGTATTGCTCTCTATAATGTTGCTCGAAGATTCACCGGAAAAATTTTTTTCATAACGATGCCCGCTGACCATAGGGTGGCTTACCTACTTTATTTTTATGGGAGCAATGACATTTGAATGACATTTTAGGTCTTGGTATCTGTGCGGAGGTGTGTAGTTGGTGTGTGAAGGTGTTGGTGTGTGATGTGTTTGTGTGGTGGTGGTGTTGGTGGTGCTGATGTGGTGGTGTGGTGGTGTGGTGGTGTGGTGGTGTGCTGGTGTGTGGAGGTGTTGGTGTGGAGGTGTTGGTGATGATATTGTGACATTCCTATTTCTCTTTGATTTGCCATATTGTGACATTCCTATTTATGTTAATTAGCTCTTTTTCATGCTAGTAGTACAATGGTTGAGATAAAAGATGTCTGTTCATCTACAATGTGGGATAAAGAGACAATTAATATTTTGCAATCTTTGCCTCAAGGTGGTCGATCCGGGAAATAGGCTGACAACATATTTCAACAAGGAAGATTGACAAAATACTATTAGAAATTTAAAGAAAGTATATGAAGAGAGTATGATGGAATGCTGTTAAAAAAAGTTGGATCAACTAAAGAAAGATTGAAAAATCTGGAAGGAATTAAAGTGATGATCAATAAGCTTGGGGTGGGATCCGTTAAAGTGAACGATTAATGCTTCCGAGTGGTGGACAGAGAGACTTGCGGTGAGCATTTTTTAAATATCCCATTTTTTTCAATTTTTAATTTATTTTAAATTCAACGACATGTTATATGAATTTGCCGGTGGTGCCTGCTGCAAAAAAAATTAAATACAGTGCAATCGATTCTGAGTTGGAGGAGAAGTTGGATTGTATGTTTGGGGGTGTAGTGGTAACGGACAACAATACATGTGCACCCAGTGGGCTAAGGTGACATCCTTGAAAATTTGGGAGCTGATCAAACATGTGATTTCATTGAAAGCCTCAGCTCGAACCTCCATGAAATTGAGTCCACGATCCAGTCTAAGCATCCTCGGGTTGAAAAAAAAAAAAAAACGGAGCTGCTTTCCTTAGAAGTTAGATCTCACAGTTGATGACTTCATGCACCAATAACTCCGACACATCACAAACAACTTCTGTCCAACAGGTTATGCGAATTTTGGATGCAACTCCAGAAATTTCGGAGGACATGCCGCTGTATTGCTCTCTATAATGTTGCTCGAAGATTCACCGGAAAAATTTTTTTCATAACGATGCCCGCTGACCATAGGGTGGCTTACCTACTTTATTTTTATGGGAGCAATGACATTTGA